TGCTGAGGTTATTGTTGCCGAAGAAGTTCGAGAGCGTTGCAGCTTCCAGGCGAAGGCTCTTCACGAAGACAAGTACTATGCCTACCTGCTGCTCGGTACATCCCTTCGTGGTTCTTGTGTGCTTGCATGGCATTCAAACATGAACACAGCAAGCCATGCCTCTTTTGGTGTGTAGCAGTCCACCCTCCCCTCCCCCATTCCAGGACCTGCTTTGTCGCCGTAGGTTCCAGTGGCAGTTTGCATTGGGTATTCGCCACACTCAATCAGGGCCGGTATGTGCTCCTGGGTGTTATCCTTATTCCCTCAGACTAGGTCAAGCATGTCATGCTCTGCTGATCTCAGCTGTAGGTTTTAAACCTAGTCGGAGATGTAACAGTCACAACTTTACTACGACAGTCACATGCTTTACGATATGGGTCTTGGTCTTACCGTCTCTCTCTCTGACTCGTTCTTTCCCTCTCCTTGGTTTCGGTCTTTCTTGTCTCGTCGCTCGCTCTCGCTTTGACCGTCTCTCTCTCTCTCTTTCTATTCCCCTCTCTAAGTCTCTAAGCCTCTCTATACTCTATGCCTTCTAAAGTGCAGGACATGGTGCATTTTGAGGGTGCAAAGGTCAGTCGGCGAAAGTTTGGGGTGTCGTCATGGGGAGGCTAACTGATGGGCTCGTACTGTCCACAATGCAACGTCGCAGCAGGACGCAGCCAACCCGTGGCGGTTCCAAAGACTTTTGGTCAACTCTAGAGCACAACTCCAGGCCGTTCGATGAGTCCTCGTGCTCAGCATAGCCGGAAAGATACCACGTGCGCCCTGTTTTGGCCAGACGGAGGTCAGAAGATTTTGTCGGCAACTGGACAGCCGTTCTTTCTGCCCTTTGTTTATAATGGCACGTCACAGCAGCAGATTTTGAGATTTCGAGACGAGGCTGGCACCAGTCTTCGGGGTCACCGGCTCAATCTCGATGAAGTGTGGCTTGCAAGGCATCGCGCTGAAACTGGAGACCAAGCAGGGCAGTGTCTCAAGGGTTCAAGGACTTTCTTACATTTTCGTCTCAAGACATTGACCCTGCAGGTGTGCCGTGGGCGGCTTCAGGCAACCTGGCGGCTTCATACTTCAACATCGCTCATGGCGCACATACTTGCGGAAAAGATCGTTCATGTTTTTGTCAGCCGTCCCGGAGTTGGGCCATGTTCGGGGCTGGGTGTTTACTCCGCCTGCAAGGGTTCTTCAACGTGCGTAGACCCAGATAACTGGACAAAGACCTCGTCGGTCGGTCGGAAGGGTGGGTCGGGAGACCCATCTGCGAGGGGAAAAATCGCATGCCAGTGAAGGGGAGGGGTTTGAGCCCGGAGAGCACGCTGGATCGTTTGTCCGCCTCTAAAGGCACGAGAGGAGCGGGATCCTGCCGACGAGAGCCGAGCAGTTTTTAGTGCGCCTGCTCCAATTGTAAAGCCTCACGACAGATGGGAAGGGAGCCATGGGAGCCGCAAGCCGGGTGAGGAAGACCCAGTGAAGGCAACCCAGAGGGAGGCAAGCACCGATGGTCTGGGTGCAGGGACCAGCAAAGCCTAGCGACAGGTGGGAACCGCAAGAGGGGTGAGATGGGTGAGGAGAGACCCAGGAAGGCAGGAACAACACCCAAACGGTGAGTCGATGGCTTTTTTTAGGGGTGCAGGCACCGGGCGATTAGTCGGGTGTTTTTCCGTTTGCTGTAAAGGCAAAGTCTCGCGACAGGTGCGAAGGGATGACCTTTGTTTAGGGGTGAGGCACCCAAACGGAGGAAAGGCCTTTGAACAACCTCACGAGGCAGGCACGCGGGAAAAAACAGACCCAAAACAGGCACTCAGGTCGGAACAAGACCCGAAGAGAGAACCAGACCCAAAACAGGCGGGCGGGTCGGAAAAAGACCCGAGACGACAACCAGGGTGGGTGGGAAAAGACCCAGCCAGGCGGGAAACAGACCCCATATTCAGGGAGAAAACCAAAAATATCCTAAGAGAGAACCAGGCAGGAAAGAGACGCTAAGCCCCAATGGCTCCCAATGGCTCGCTTCTGCTGTGAACTGCAATAGTGAGTTTAGCAGGATGGTCAGATTAACCATCTCATTCGTCCATCGTACTTCTTCATTCCATCGAAGAGATGAAAAAGCGCGGGCATGCTGCCAAGCATCCGCATGGGCCACCTCAGGAAACATGCTGAGTTCGGCGTACCACTTCGTGCCTGGCCTCGGTTCAGATTCGGATTCAATGGTATAGTAGGAATGGTTTCCTGTGTCGTGTATGCTGTCAGAGTTTTCGCCTTGAGGGTTCCGGTTGAGAATCGGTGTTCATGAGAGCTGCTGCTGCTGCTGCTCGGTATCCAAGACCGACCGTTCATAGCATCTGCAGTTGACAGTGTTACTGCTGTAGAACGAGTCGCAGCTGAGGCACACTACCTTCAAGGGTCTAATGCCGAGGACCTCTATGCCGTATGCTCAAATCCAAGGATGCCGTCAAAAAGGGTTTGCAACAGGAAAGCAAGAAAGGGCCCAAGACAACCGCCACTGACAGCCGCGACCCAGCCGAGGGATCACTGCCGGAATCTTAAGCTCCCGAAGAGTCCAGCAGGTTCTTCAGGCGTCGGGCATCTGAGCACGTGTACTGCCTGATCTCTAGCATAGCTGTTGGCCACGGGGCACTGGCACCCTCCACAGTAAGATGCAGAGCGCATGACAGCATCATTCAAGCCTGTTGCAACCCGAAACTGAAACAGACGATGACCCATCACTCTTCGAAAAATCATGGGAGTGATGACTAAACGAGTTAAACGGTACTGACAGGCAGCGGAGCGTGGCAGTGACTGCACATATGTTCAAACAGCACTTCTCGGCTTCAATTTGCAGCTAGGACCTGAAGAAAGCCGTCATCCCACTTGGCATGTGGGCGTGTCTTGACAGCCAAAAAATGGTACTGTGTTAATGTTGTGTGGATTATTTTGCTTTTGTTGCAGCTGCGAGGTTCTTCCTCATCGGTGTAGTCCTGGGAAACTCTCACCACACCAGGCTCGTGGACAGACAGAACATTAATCCGTCGACTTAGCTACAAGACCTTCGCATTAAAGTAGGCTGGTATGGCGGTTGTACTTTCTCGCGGGATCGCACGATTGGCATCGGAAGTTCAGCGTGACGGACAGCGAAGTCACTTAGGGAATCCCAGCCAGTCGCCAGGTCCAGCCTCATTTGCATCTCCGTCGTGGCTTGTCACCAGCAGGGAGATGGAATGATGTGTTGCTTAAGCTGACAAAGGCACTTCAGACAAGGGCTAAGGCTAAGGATACTGCGACAAAGGATTAGGCACTGCCTACGAATCAATTACCGCGTCGTTGAACGGGTCGGATTTTGTACATTTCAATTGGATGGAGCGGGAGCCAAGCTATGACGAGCGGAGGATGACTTGTATTGGGGTTCGGAGTGCATGACAGGCATTGAGAGGCGGTCCGTTGATGCTTCCCAAGCATTGACCACCGTCGAGCACATTGACAGTCGTCCACCTTCACGACCTTCCCAGTGCCAGGCATTGGCCGTGCTCTTCCTGGCCATGAGTGCATCTTGTCAATCTTGTCTTGCAAAGCCCCAAAGCCTCCATATCTTGCAATTTCTGCAGGCCTTTCCGAGAACTCCCTTGTTAATGCGGTCCTCCCTCCCTCATGACGGAGTCGCTCTGGAGCCTCCGAGGTGGTCCTGCCCAAGAAGAAGCAAGATACACCTGGTGTCATCGGCCCGTGACTTCTACGCTTTGCAAGAGGCCAGCTACTCTTCCTGAGAAGGCGAGTACCAAGAGTTTCCAACGAAGTGTCGGCATCGCTATTCCTGCTGCGAGATCCGCTTATCTTGTTCTGTGATTCGGTGGTTTCTTTTGCTCAGACATTTCTTCCCCTGTCTGCATTCTGCTGCGTTTGTGTTGGGTCGTTTTCGGTTGTTACTTTATGTTGCTTTCCAATCCGGTGCTTCAGATAGCTACTTGTTGAATCCGTGTGAGCCACGTCGTTGTATGCACGCAGTTGGATACTTGCGGTGGAAATCTGCTTTGGTTCAGCCGCAGAAACTATGCATCAAACACCAAGAGAGGGTGTAAAGTCCACGCGGCAGGTTAAAAGCCAATGTTCACACCGAGACCTGGCTAAGCCTTGCCGAAACAGCCAAAATCAATGACATCAAGAGCTACGAAAGTCCTGTCCAAGTTCAAGCTTCAACAGCCAAGCCAAATCCATCTGGCAAGTTTGGATACCACTCGGGGGCGTTTCAAGCCCTGGGGGCACTCCCTACATCCCCTGCAAGCATTCGACCACACCAAGCCGAGACGAACAAGAGCCGTCTCCGAAGGTTGCACGTTTGATTCCCGAAGTCGCATAAACTCAATATCGAAAATCACAGGCGAGCAAAGCTTCCACGACAGCAGGTTGATTCCAAAGTGCTACCTGCACAGGTGAATGCAATGTGTCTGGTCTGGCTGCCCAAGTGCAGCACCCAGCAAGAGCTGCGGTGATGTGTCACGAATGAGTGGGGGAAGTTGCTCTCAACTTCCCCCACGAGCATGGCTTACCCATAGTGTCGCTGCATTTAAAATCTCGGAGAAAACAGCGCGGCAGACATCATTTAGTGCAAGTCGCATGTTGAGCTCACTTGGTGCCAAGCAACGATGCAAGCCAGCGCCACCGAAGCTCGGCAGGAAGCACCTGGGAATGCCAGAGATTTGTTCACACTGCACCTTTCAATACCAATCATGTTTCTCGTACATGAGCTTGCAGATGACGAGTGCCTGGTCGGCTCGTTTGTCGAGCGCTTTCTTCTCCCAACCTCGTTCAATTAAAACCGCACTTTCTTGAGTTTGCGTGGGGATTGGAGCTAAGAAAGGTTGGCCGATCTGCCGGGCTCAAGCTGAGCCTGGTCCTGCACGCGTCCTTTGCACTGTACGTACCACAAAGCACATTTCACATTCGTCAAGTTTTAGCACGGCACTGCCTGAGCCATGGCCAGCCAAGATCCTCGAGCCAAAGGAGCAGAGGAGTGTCATACTTGACGAAGCAAGTAGTTAAAAGTGAAGTCTCAATCGTCAAGGAACCAACGTAAGCTGGCTAGACAAAATGCAGGCGATGTCGATACTGGAAATCATGCTTTCGCTCAAGCATGCTCGTTCACTTCGTGTCCAGTTGGTTCTTCATGGTCAGGATCTACAGTTTGAGAAATGCCTTGGACGCGGATACTTCGGAGAGGCCTGTGCCGTGAGTCAAGCATGAGAAGCCATGAACACAACACATCATATAACATAATTTTAACGCTACGCCGCCCGCCTCGGCTGCTCGGGGCTAGAGGGCACGGCAGAGACCCCGATAAGGGTTTGTATTCAAGCTCAGCTGTGAGCAAGCACGTGCGGAGACTGGGTGTGGAGTCAAGGGTGAGATAG